TATTATAAGTCGTTGAGGAGTTATAAATCCCCAAACATCTATCATGCTACAAAATTGCCTGCATATATTATGTATTCTTACCACATGTACCATAATAAATCAGACCGGTAATGACTTTCCAAAGACTGAAAAGTCAAGGTGACACCTTTACCTAGCTCTACAGGGGAGAGTTTGGAGCCATACAGTATAAGTAAATCCTATGTGATTTGACTATCAATTCAAGCCTTATTTATCATTTTTTTACATTTTTAAATCATATTATTATTTAATTTGAGAGAGAAGCAGTGTGACTGTCAACCAAATTTGTGATTTTTTTTTCCCCACAGGGAAGATATGGGAAGAATGTAAAGATATTTGGTCGCAGGACATCCGGGAATACATCTCAGAACCCTGGAACCTTCTTGACTTTAGTATATTGGCCATTTTTATGACCTCTTTCATTGCCAGATTAATGGCCTTCTGGCATGCATATTCTGCCCAGTGTTATGTTGACAAGTACTATACTGATCTGTCCAACACGACCTTGCCATTTGAGATTCAGTATTTCCAGCTGGGTAAGTGAGGACTTAAGAATCCAAGTGTTATAAGTAGTAATTCAATAAATTGTTTTTCCAAACTGAAACCATAATATTTGTTATTAAAGAGAATCCCTGACTTAAATCTACACTGGATGTTGATTTTTATCTTTTATTGGCTATTTAAAGACTTTTTTTCTCCTCAATAATTTTGAGACCTAGGACAGGAAATCTAGGAAAACAAAGGAATCCACAGTCCTTTTTGACCACTACATTTGCTTATCTAAATAACCATGCTAAGTTTAGTTCATTGTATGAATTCCATACACAGGTCGTGATCTAAATGAAGTTAAAGATTACTGAATGAAAACTGTCAAATGTGTCTATTTTTAGCTCGAATCAACTGGATGCCATCAGACCCGCAGCTTATTTCTGAAGGCCTCTATGCAGTTGCAGTTGTGCTGAGTTTCTCTCGCATTGCATACATTCTGCCTGCAAATGAGAGCTTTGGGCCTCTACAGATCTCTCTGGGAAGAACAGTGAAAGACATCTTTAAGTTCATGGTGATTTTCATAACAGTTTTTGTGGCTTTCATGGTGGGGATGTTCAATCTGTACTCATACTACCTCGGAGCCAAGCACAATGATGCCTTTACAACGTGAGTGCCAGTAGACTGTTGCAATAACACAGTTTGCCTGAAAAAGCTTGTAAAATGGCTAAATATTTTCCATTTGTGCCTTTTTTTCTAATTTTATGATGTAAGACCATGTAGTGGTCAGGTTGTACTACACTAACTTTTATTCCCATCTCTCTGTTCCACCAGGCTTGAAGAGAGTTTTAAAACATTATTTTGGGCCATCTTTGGCTTGTCAGAAGTGAAATCAGTGGTCATTAACATCGACCATAAGTTCATTGAGAATATTGGCTATGTTTTGTACGGGGTGTACAACATCATCATGGTGATAGTCTTGCTGAATATGCTCATTGCCATGTTCAACAGCTCCTTCCAAGAAATTGAGGTACGTCCCAACCATCCACATTTCTGAATTAATATTAATTTTTGTTTTGATAATGACAGAGATAATTGCCTTTTTGTAAGATTACAGCAGGTTTATAATAGTTTAATTTGACAAAAAATTCAATGCATAATATGCTTTACTGCTGATGTATTCCAAAGTTGTGTATTTGGATTAAACAGTAATACTGCAGATTTAATGAAGAGATGTAGATAAGCAAGTGGAAGCTGCATACGTTGTTAACTTCACTGACAACTGAATATTCATCTGTTGCTCATTAAATGTTTCCCCTGGCTTTTCCCCCTCCTTACCTTTTTCTCCCTGTTGGTGCAGGATGATTCTGACGTTGAGTGGAAGTTCGCCAGAGCTAAGCTTTGGTTCTCGTACTTTGAGCATGGTGTCACACTGCCTGTGCCATTCAACCTTGTACCCAGCCCCATGTCTGTCATTTCCCTCTTGCTGGGGATAAAGGAATTTCTCTGGCATGTACCTCAAGGCAAAAGCAAAGAAAATTCAAATGATGAGCTGGAGCTTAACAAGGTGAGGCATCAGCTGCTGACGCAAATTATATTTCATGTAAACAAGAGGTTAGAGACATTTATAATACTTCTGATGAGGTTTACTTGTGTTCTCTGATACTGGTCTACAGGGCCCTCTTGTGTCACATTTACAAGTTGCAGGTGTCAGTGTGTCCCTTTAAAGCATGTTTTAAAACAAATATTAACAGTGCTTCTTCTCCTTTTGTTGTTTCTAATCTAAGTTGAGGCAACAAGAAGATCTGAGTGTGGAAACATCGCTTTGTCCAACCCGTCACCAGGTAAAGCAGTTTTCATTTCTTAAAGCTATTTTATTCACCTGCTAATAACTAAGCCGTTGAGTTTCCTGTGTTGCAACTCTAAAATGTTGAGAACCACCAATCTAGACACTTCTAGTTACTCAAAAGGAGACTAAAGTACATATTGAAGCACTAATATAATGTGTCAGTCGAAACCATACAATATCAAATATGCTCACAGAAACAAGTTGGCGGCTGCTCTTATTTTTCGGTAACCCAGATTTTTTTCAGAACAATCAGTTTAAGAATAAAATCTCCTATTCTTTATTACAGAAGATAATGAACCGCCTCATCAAAAGATACATCTTAAAAGCACAGAGAGATAAAGACAACGATGAAGTGAATGAAGGTGAGTTGAGCAGGTCTTCTGGATAAAGTGCTTTTCACGTTTGGATCAATGAATTACTAACCTCATTTGATGCTCTTTGTACCACAGGTGAACTTAAAGAGATCAAACAGGACATCTCCAGTCTCCGCTATGAGCTACTGGAAAGGGGGAAACACGACATGGAGACACTAGCAAAGCTCATCAGGCAGCTGGGAAAAGTCATGGCTGTTCAGCAGAAAGAAGAGCAGAGGAATTAGCTATTAGAGTTGCCTTTACTGCACTCTTCTCATCAATGAGGCATTCAGTCGGGGTCAAAGGGCCCTTAGGCACAGACCCTGGATGCATTTTTGGGCATAAAAATTATCATTTATATTCTGTATTTTAAATATAAAATAGATTGATTGATCTTTTCTCCTTAGTGTAGATGTATCACTTTTGGAGGAGAATTAATTACATTGTCCCTGTCCCTGTATGTGTACAGTTAATCACATGGTGGCACTGACTTTTTTCTTGTTGCACAGGCTGTTACACTAACATGCACTACTGACTGCGAACATGTGATGGTGCTGACTGTTACCAGCTGTTTAGGTTTTGATTTAGAGGTGATTTTTCTTTCTGAAATAGAAAAGCAGTTCAGATAAAAATAAGCATATGTTTATATGTATCAGTGGTATGCAGACATAACCTAAAAATGAATGAAAGCTTGTTGGTAATAACTGTCCTCAGACCTTTCCTGAAATCCCAAGTTATGAGATTTTCTGTTATCTTTACATTTTCATACAAGACATTAACTTTACATTTTTTTAATGTTGTGTTTCATTCAAACGTTGATCACTAAAGCATAATGTTTAATGAATATAATTAAATGATTATCTTCATCTCATGGACTTCAGAGGGTTTATGGGTTTTTTAAATGGTTGCAGCAGATGCTGTTGTGCTCTCTCATGCTTGCTGTGAAGCAAGACAAATGTCTGAGAACAGTCTGACCTGTCACATAGACAAACAGCTCACCTCCATCTACATTCGGCCAGGAGAGTAAAATCTGCTGCCAGACTTTAGCTGTCAAGTCCCTGAACAGAGTTACTGTGAAGCATTTATACAAAAAAAAAAACTAAGGGTCAGACATCACAACAGCAAAACTAATGAAATAACCACAAAAAAAACTTGTTAGCTGTATGACGTGAATGCCATGAGGCCCAGTAAAATGCATTTACGTGTCTGCAATATTAGAACTTTAATTATAAAGTACCAGAAGATGGGATTAAACAAGAATTGAAAGCTGTGTGTGGTCACCATGAACCACGAGTGTCACATTTACAGATTACAGGTTTGTCTGAAGACTAGGCCATTACAGCATTTGAAGAACACATCATGTAGATATGAATATGAAACTGTTATCCAAGAATTATGTAGGCCACAGCATGAGAATCCCCTCTGATATTGCTCAGATGACGCAGGAGAGAGGGCCAAGGCCTGTGTGTGCATCATAACTACATGCATCAGCAACATACTCGACTGATTAACTTGAATAGTAAAACCCTCTCTGTTATCCAGGATAACAGCAATATAAATTAGATCAGTACATAGGAGATGAGCGTGCTGTCATAACACAGTGTCCTTCAGAAATGTGGAGAACCACCATACAGACGATACAAAGATAACATTTATCTTTGTATCGTCTTTCACTCCATCAAATGCTGTTCATGTATGTTTGGTCAAATACACAATAAAAACATAATGTTTAAATAAAGAACTTTAGAAATAAGAAGCCTTATATAGAAAAGGGAAAGACATGAAAATTAAAGTAACATAAATATAAATTGTGTTTTGCAGAAAACAAAACACAAAGTTTCATTTATAATTGCTTTGACTTATTACAGGCATTATATAACACGCCATTAACTTACTTGAACAGCTCACTGCCACTTTGGATTGGATGATGGCTCAAAGTGATAAATAAAACTTCACAAGGAAGGGATTTAGTCTTGTATAAATAAATAAATAAGACAATATTGTGTGTTGGTAACGATAACAATGGATGAGTTTTGGGATTATCATGAACTTGAAAGCGATCCAATATTTGAAAAAACATGCTGGACCTCATTTGTAAACAGCAGGGTGGAGACTTATGACCCTTGACATTGAGGTGATCCATCTTCAATTCTCCTCATTGGCTGGCTATTTTACTGTAGGTCTGCTGTAAGGGTAGTGTTACTCCATACATTTCTCTAGCGTGGCTCTGCATTGACTCTCTCCCTGCATCCTTCGGAGGATTGGTGATTTAGTCTTAATAAGGAAAGCTATTGGAAATCTGTGAAAAAAGGAAAAGAATATTCATTTATTTTTTAAACATGACACCCACAACCAGGGCAAGGAAATATGGGCTACTTGCATTTACTTAAATATGCCAGGATAAATTGCTTTATGAGCTCATAATTGCGCACCTTTAATCCCTCATCATCAGCAGATTCAAAATTGGTTTTCTTTTCTGGGCAGCTGTTAAATTGTCTGAAATAGACTTAAGTGAAAGAAGGCGAAGTCACAGCCTTCCCTGACGAGGAGGAGGATTACAGGAAAGTCTCTGAGCCACAACTTATCACACATCGTCCAGCCCCCGGACGCACTCCAGTCTCTGCTGAGCGCATCGCGGTTCACAAAATGGAAAATAAAATAAACGGAAGGATGAGCAGCACCAGTACATCGATCGCTGATTCCACCGATACAGGAGTAAGCGACTTGATTGAAGCTGGATACAGTAATATTAAATTATCGAATGAGTCACAGTCTCTAACTTGCATGTCCTCCGTGCGTAATTTTGGAAATGCCGACAGACTGATCCTGGGTCTAAATTCTAGCGGCGACGGCGCAGTTTTCAAAGACTGTAACGTACTCGATGGTTCACTTGTTGCAAAACATTTTTATGATCGTAGCAATGAATATCTGAAGTGTGACACTGTGCCGTGGGAAGATTTTGTAAATGTTCAGGGGACGGATTTGGCCACATCCGAAAGTTTGCCTGGCGCAAGTTTAAGCCTCTCCTCGACACCTGTTGCGTGTAAGTTCATCAAAGATGAAAATGAGCCTTCTGTGATTATGGACATCCCCTGTCCCAACTTTGATCCAACATCGGAGATACCTGCTCTTGACACCTGCTGTGACACCGACAAGAAGCAGCAGCTGGGATGTAGTGACGGGGAGTCGCCATGTTTCACGCCGGCTACGGCGGGTCCTCGACCGGGGTTGGGGGGATCTCCAAACTTTCTGATCGACCTGAACCAACCGGAGCAGCTACCGGCGTTGAGCCAGGTGAGGACTGACTCCATGTGTGGTTTGTCCGGGAAGGCTGTCATCAACTTTGATGCCAATAGGCACACAGCCCCGCAACTGACGATGTACAAGAACGAGGTCTCCCGTTGGCAGATGCAGATGTCTCCGGCTGAGCCTCAGTACTGGTCTGCAGGGCTGTCCGAGGACCCGTTCCCACACAGCGGCTATGATGGGATCCAGAACCAGAGCCTGTCTCAGAGGAACCCATCACCTTTCTCCGCATTCCCCGGGTAATTAGTTAATTAGCTTTAATTGTTCACCTTCAAGTCACTGTCGATATGGAGCTATAGTGTTCCATATCACTCATGAACTCTGAATCTGTGTGTTTGTGTGCCAGTTGGAGTTAAAAGTTGGAAAGTAGACAACAGTTTTGACAGATCATAGACCTACATACATTGACGATCAATTATTAATTAATGCCAGGTGTTAGGATACATTATTTGCCACTCCAGAACAATCACGATTGGGATGTCTAAGACTAAGGCTGTCTATCTGAGTCTAAGAAAGTGGAAACAAATTACTTATTTTCTTATAGTCACTTCCACTCACTTCTCTAGAACTACACTGTCTGTCTCAGAGTTAATTTGTATTGAAAACAAGAGTGAATGAGAACATCTGATGTTGTGGTTTTGGTTTTTTTTTCACTTGGGCCAACTGAAAGCTCCTAAAAACATCTTGAAAACCATTAACTATCTGTTTCTCTTCACCCTTATATCTTAACATAAACTCGGGTCCTTGAGGGTCCTTGAGTCTTGTCTTACTTGCTAAGAAACAACTAAATAAGCTTTAAATTCACTCAAGGGTTAAAAGAGTCAACCATTCAAATATTATAGGAAACTGCTTATTTAAAGTAATATTTAGTTATTTTATTTAATCAAGTGTCAAACTCAGATGTTTTACCTCTTTACGTTTCTTATTCTGTGTACCATCATGTGTACAGTTTAAAGGGGGATTGCTTTTTAAAATGAGGGTGTTCTGCTTTAACACAGAATGGACCTGTCTGTCTCTCTTTATATGAATTTAATTTAATCAATATATGTTTTTTTCTTTATCCAGTATGCCACCTCAGAGAATGTGTGTGATCTGTGGTGACGAGGCATCTGGTTGCCACTATGGAGTCTTAACCTGTGGGAGCTGCAAAGTCTTTTTTAAAAGAGCAGTTGAAGGTGAGCAAACAAAATCTTTAACCTACTTCTGGAAATGTTTTACACACTTTTAGTCAAATATTGTCCAAGCCACATAGATACTGTATTGAGACTGTTATGATTTGGACATGGTCTAGGTCTTCAGCTACAGCAGACAGTTTAACCGCTTTTATCCCAGATTGTTTTTAAGATATCTTATAACATCTGGCCAGTGACACCTGACCAAACATGGATGACTGTTTTAGTAGTCAGTCATCTGGTTTTCATCTCTCCAGTCTACACTGCAACAGTGTGTATTTTATTTCTGTTGGTTTCTGTTGTTTCATCCTCATTGTTGTTTCTATCTTTCATTATACATACTGTAATATATAAAATACTTCATTTTTAGGGTGCCTCTATGCTAACTTATTTTTTTCTGTTTATCAGTGGGCATTGTACATGTCAAATAAACTAAAACATGAAAAAGGAAGTAAAAAACACTAAAGCAGGGGTTAGAGGCTGTAACTGAATTTCAATCTCTAATATCAGCTATTGCTATCTACAGTGAATGCTCTGGTACATTGAAGGGGAGTCAATGTCAAATTACTGACCTTCTATGGTAGTTGTTAAATGTCATTAGCAACAGTATCATATTGACCAGTGTTCACCGTGTTCTTCGTCTTGAACTTGTTTTTCTTGTTATCTTGTAATGCGAGATATGTAAGAGCCACTATGTCTCACCATGGCCATGTCACTCTGTCCTCACAGCCTTGCCTCTATCTAATTTCCTTCTTTAGATTTCTCCCCAGAACGCTGCCTCGCTGTTCGTGGAGTAGCCATGTTAATAGTCAAGAGCCCTTCAACACCCTTTCTCCTCATTATGTGCCTTTCCTCCCCCCTATTTGAAATTCAAGCACTGTTAAATTTGTGTTCATTGTCCCTTCACTCAACAGGCCATCATAGCTATCTCTGTGCTGGGCGAAATGACTGCATTGTGGACAAAATCCGGAGGAAAAATTGCCCGGCGTGTCGCCTCCGAAAGTGCTATCAGGCGGGAATGATGCTCGGAGGTACCATTTGGTTGGATTCCTTTTTGCACAGGGCTAAGGCAGAAATGAAAGCGAAGTCACAATAATCATGATTAGCTTTTAAGAGAATGTTAAAAGTGCTCAGATAAAAAAAGATAATAGTGAATTAAAAGTCCTAAAAGCAGAAGTACAGAGCTCTTTTTTCAAATGCAGTCAAACCTGTTTTACCAATTCAATTTTACCACTCAAAACTTCCATTTGGGCCCTCAAATCTAACCAGACCTTGTATTCATGTCACAGGCAGGAAGCTGAAGCGTTTTGGGGCCTTAAAAGCCTTGGGTTTGGCCCCGTCCCTGATGTTCCAGTCTCACATGGCCATGTCCAGTGACAATCAGGCCTTGACCTCCATGTCTTGCATACCAGGCATCCGTGAGGTGCAACTCTCCCAGCAGATCATCTGTATCCTGGAAAACATCGAACCAGAGGTCGTTTACTCGGGTTTTGACAACACCCAGCCTGATGTTGCCCATCTTCTGCTGAACAGTCTCAACAGGCTGTGTGAAAAACAGCTGCTGTGGATCGTTAAGTGGTCCAAGTCTCTGCCAGGTAACGGCTCTCTGCAGCTCAGGGTCACCATAAGTGTCGCCATGGGAATCCATTGGCAAGCCTCGCCGAAGGTCTCAGCCTTAACCACTGACTGAGATAGACGGCTTTGTAATGACATGAATATCGGCTATATGAGAAGTCATTCCAAGTGGTAAAAACCATTTGATTGTCAAAGGAGATGTTAAAATTAAAGAGGAATTGTTGAAAATCTGTAGCAATTCCCTTAAGCTAATGCCAAAATATTGGAAAACCAATGTACACCACTGGGTATGATGGTTTATTAGTGCACAGGTGACAAATGTAATTCGCTCTGATATATTGTATTTTCTTTCTAAGGGTTTCGTAATCTTCACATCACAGACCAGATGACCCTCATCCAGTACTCATGGATGAACCTGATGGTGTTCGCTCTCGGGTGGCGCTCCTTTCAGAATGTCACCAGTGAATATTTATATTTCGCACCTGATCTGGTTCTTAGTCAGTAAGTAACTATCGTCACACAGGCAACCCTTGATCAACAATGATCTAAAAGAGTTACATTTTGTTTTGTTTTTCTCAATATTGGTCAGAACCATTAACCAATTTATATTTTTGTACTTCAGGGAACAAATGAGGAGATCTCCAATTTATGACCTCTGCCTGGCAATACAGTTCATCCCTCAGGAATTTTCCAATCTGCAGGTCACCCGCGAGGAGTTTCTCTGCATGAAGGCCATAATATTACTCAACACAGGTAAAATACAAAGGACTTGCTGAATCAGGCACAAGATGACTCAGTTTTTATCTTATGTTGACCTTTTTTGAATAAACCGCACTAAGTATACATTGTAGCAGAGATGTGAAGCTCTGATGACCATCTACTGTAGAGCCGCACAATAAAGGGAGTGTTGTACGAGGTGACTGGACCTTGACAAGATTTATGTAGCAGCTGCTATCAACTTCTAGTTTTACACTGACTGAAAAACATTGTTTTGAATAGCGGCATGTTACTTCTACAACACTGACTGACTGGCACTTCTGTTACATTTCCTTATTGTTTGTTTAGGTTTTAAAACAGAGTAATAATTTTTCCACATTTAAAAGTGCATAGTATTTGGAGAAATACATTTTCTCCCTTCTTGTCCCTTCTGCTCTCAGTGCCTCTTGAGGGACTGAAAAGTCAGGGAGTATTTGAAGAGATGAGACAAAACTACATTCGGGAGCTGACCAAGGCAATCCACATTAAGGAGAAGGGCTTGGTGGCCTGCTCACAGCGATTCTACCACCTCACCAAACTGATGGACGCCATGCATGATGTAGGCTCCCTCATAGATCTGAGTACAAGAGCATTAATTCCATGTCTTAATCTGACTGCTACTTTAATGAGTACTAAGACAAACATGAATGTCTCTTTTCTGACAGATAGTGAAGAAGGTCAATCTGTTCTGTCTGAGCACCTTCCTCCAAGCAGATGCCATGAAAGTGGAGTTTCCAGAGATGATGTCAGAGGTTATTGCCTCTCAGCTTCCCAAGGTCCTGGCAGGCATGGTGAGGCCTCTCTTATTTCACACCAAGTGAGGATGTCAGCACAGACATCACAACTCTGGAGAGACATCTTGTTACTGGATTACTGACCCTTCAATTACTGGATTTTTCATAACCTTCGCTTTGGTAGTCAGGCATCTATACTTTGCCAAATTGCATCTAATGGTCTTTAGCTCTTTTACTTCATGAGGTGAAGCAGAATGAACATGTTCCTTAAAATATATGTTTTTTAGTACACAAATATCTTACATATAATGAATTCATGAATTCAGAGGCATCAGTCAATAAAGCTTCTCTGTATGATTCAGGTGTATCCAGCCTTTTCCCATTGTACCTGCCAACTTGTGTACAGATGGTATTTACTAGCTGATATACAGTAGGTATTAATAACCACTAGATATATTGATATTTTTGTACTGAAGCTGCAAAAATTTTTTACTTTCAACATTTCTCACCAACATTTTATTGTTAATAAAGGAGAAATGCAGGAGAAACTGAAACCTGGCACTTAAACTAATGAAATTATTTTAGGGTTAATAGCAGACTGACTCACTGCACCTACTTCAGGGAGAAGAAACTGGGAAGATAATTATTTTAAAATATTTGTGGAAAAAATAAATGACTTACTGTAACTCACATCTCCGCCAAGGCTGCTCAATTCCCTGAATGTTATTCTCATAATGATTTAAAAATGTTTTAATCTGCATCCGGATCTGCATCACAATACACACAGGGCTTCTCTGGCGTTAATGGGATGCATGTGACAGATTTAATTCAAGTGAGTGAAATTTCTGGATCAGCATGCAGAGCTGTAAAAACAAACAAAGAAATAATCCCTGGCAGAGGTCATAAAAACATTTTCATGTAGCTATGGATATGAAGGAACGTAAGTGAAATATATTATCTGTCAGTCTAATCATATTTTTTCACAGAAAAATACAACCATGTCTAAAAGTAGGGACACAAAGAGACAATTGTATTTTACCCTCTAACAGTTCATACAGTTAACAGTATACTGTAGAGTTTCTCGCCACAGTGAACACAAGTTAAAGTCACTAACCATGACAAAGAATTTGGAACACAGGTCTAATAAATCACGCTGTTTATTTATAGACATGTTTTTGCACTGTCAAGACACAGTAGATGATTGCAAGGAAACAAGCTTGCCATATAAAAAAAGGGATGCCAGAAGTTACATATAAAGGATATGGATATCAATTCCGTGATATGCCCCTGCAAATTCAGACTGCAAGGGAGTATTTTTCCAGCATCAATGTTCAAGGCCACCCCGCATTCTTAAATATGAAAATGGAAAAGAACATCCTGATCTTGGCAAGTGCAAGATCTCCAATACCTTTCAAAATACATTTTCGGCCACCAGACAAATCCTTACTTTGGAGTAACCTTTCAATTTGTAATAATTTTAGGAGGTTTGTTGGTGATTTTCTTTCTTGTATTTTCTTTCTTTTTCTGGAAAAGTATCACCGAAGTTAACATTTTAGATACTTATGGACTTTGTACTTTTGAAATGTTGTGACAGTAACAGAAAATTAAATATTAAATGGCATCTATAACATAATATAATCTGACACATGTCTAGTTGTCATTACTAGTACACCAGTGTACCAGTTAGTACAGTATCACAACAGGCATTAAAGGCTAAGGCTCCACCTCATGAACATAGCATTCATGACATCATAAAAAACAAATTTTTACATATGTTTGAAGTGATAATTTATATTAATAAACAGTTATAAGAAGTAAATATTTTTGATTAGCAACAACAGAAGAACTCATGAGCATTAATGTACAGTACAGTACCGTGTAGCTAACCAGAAAGTGCACTGTCGCAGTGAGCAGGTTCAGTGGCTGAACAATGATCACAGGCCATAAACATGAAAGTTAAGGTGCAAATCCATTATGCTTTTTCTATTAGATTCTAATAGATTAGACTAGTATCCTTATTTTAAATCACAGTTAATAAAAAATGTTTAAGTTTATGAAACTACAGATTTTCATTAGCAATTTGATGAAAGTGTTATGTTGATATAATGGCATGTTGAAAGATAATATATTTCTGAAAATAAATCTTGTGAAATGGGATGTGATTGTTTTGTGATTCTGTAGGCTAATACTGGGACTAAAAACATCAGTGCATTCGATGAGTAATATATTTACACCTTACAATAATGTCATACTTCTTTCTTCTTAACTTCTGAATCTCTGCAGATTACCAAAGACATTTCACAATGAAATTATAAAGGAAAAGGAGGTACATTTTTGGACTTTGAACTTCTAGCACTGTTAAAGCAATTACTGTGGTGCTGCTAAGACTGCATAAAATGCAGAAATGTTACAATTACCAACAATAATGACATTACAACAATCAACCACATTGTGTATTATTCTTTCCATGGATACCATGAAAAAGATGCAATGTTTACAAGCTTGTTAGAGGAAGACGACATAATTCTCAGGGATTAAACCTGTTCTTCCTTCGTATGTTGCTTGGAGCCAGCCTGGTTCAACAGAGGGGTAGACTGCAGGACAAAAAGACAGAAAAAAAGAAGAGAAGAGAGAAGCAGACTCTTGATTTAGTGTAACCTGATTAGAATCACTGAGCCTGTATTTGGTTGTATTATTCCCCAGACTTAGTGAATAGCGGCAAAAAAAAATAAAATAAATAAATATGGGGGTATTAGGCAGCAAAATTAACACTTGAGGAAGACTCAGGGCCAGCCTGCTCCCTATGGAGTATTTTAGCGGTCTTGAAAGCAGAATTGCTTTTTCTAATCAGACACGCACACAGTATAAACCCTAAAACAACAACATTAATAATGCACAGAAGAAGAGATGCACTAAATTAAGAGTAACGGCTTTAAAAATGATCAACGACAACAATCTAACAAATATGCTGAATAAGGATGTAGAGAGAAATGGCCTGTTAACGTAGAGAGCAATAAAAGTATTCTGCCTGCTGTTAAGTGGTAGGGAGCGTTTGTTGACGTTTTTGCGTTTAGCTGCAGGCTCTGTTGGCTGTGTTAACAGGGAACAGGCACTGGTGCTTTCCATCACTAGGTTACAGTGACCTGTCTGCACTGGTTGAATGCCAAGTCATCTCTGCACGGAAAAGGCAAGAGGCAATAAAATATCCTGGGACTGTTTGGATTTTAGCAATGCATATGGGGGTGTAATGCTAAGAGCAAAATTATTTTATGCCTCCACATAATACTGGGAATTAGCCAAGTGCTTGCTGTGTCCTGCCAGTACACAACAGAGTCCAAAATGTCCAGTAATAAGCCTATGCAAGGAGGTATGTATGCTGTTGTGAGAACTTCTGCAGCAAAATAACTATCAGCTGAAGCATATAATGTCTTCCTTGTATTGGCTCTACTCACCATTTGAGAAGTGCGCCCCCTGGGGGAAGCTGAGCTCGTGGCTGTGCTCTGCCTCACAGGAATACATCGCTTTGGCGTCTCTATAAAGACAACAAAAACAGGCAATGTCATTGCAGATTTGAGGAGATGAGAGTGGGATTATTTAGGTAAAACCATGGTAGATGATGTCATGTTTTTACAGCACCTTCCAACTGGAATAGACTGAGGGTTGGAGGCATTTTCAAAAAGCAGTGCTCTGGCAGCAACCCTGAAACAATAAAAAACAATGGAGTTCACAGCACTTAGTTGTATCAAGGATAAAATAAACAGCTGAAAAAATTGTGTTTGGTAAATGACATCATCTAAAGTAAAATATGTCCTGTGATCAAATGATCAGAGTAAACAAAATACTAGTGTAATCTATTGTGACATATCAATTTGTCATATCTATAAAATCAACAGTGCTGCCTCAGTGAGCAATTCTAGCCAAAACTAAACCAAACAAGTCCGTCCACTTTCTCTGTCTTGCCAGCGTTCCTCATTGTTTAGAATGAGGTGAGAGGCGTAACGACACGATACGGGAGGTTTCCTTCCTCCGGGCACACTCAGCCTCAGCACGGTGCTGAATTGAATTAAACTATATAACAAGACTTCACTTGACCCTGCACGCAACAACCTCAGAGTCAAGGGGACAACAGAGCCTAGGGCAAGATGGGTGGGTGCTATACACGGAAACTACTTGAGAGACTATGTGACTGGCTTCTCAGATACGACAAGTCAAACAATCTATTTGTCCCGAGAGAACGAGTACAGACTGCTGCTGGGTCACATCAACCCCAGAGCAGGCAGAGCGTAATTAAAGCCAGCTCTCCCACCAGAGAGGAAAAGACATAAATCTCCTAACACATACTCATCTGATCTTAGAGACCTCTCAATGCTCAACTCTCATACAGAGACGAAGGGGGAGGGTGATGACTCAGAGGGGAGAGACAGAGAGAGGGAGGAAGATGGAAAGAAATGTTCCTGAGCTATTGTCCTCAAGCCTTATTGACTTGTAGTTACTCTGTGGGGGGAACATTAAACTGCACACATGCACATTGCCCATATATATGTACATATATATCCAAAAAACTACCGGCAGTATCAAGAGGACAGCAACCAACTGTTGTTTTCGTTATTAATTATTCTGTCTCTTGTTGTATTCAACAGTTGATAATTCATTTTGTCTATAAAATCTCAGAAAATAGTGAAAAATTCTGATTATTGTTTAATTACTTATTTAACTAATAATTTCAGCACTGGGTTTCAGGTGAATAATAATGAATAAAATGTCTACAAGATAAGATTCTATACATATAGCAGTTGATAACATTATAATGACCAAAATGTATAGTTTTTTATAACTCATTACACTGAGCCAGGTCTTTGGTAGCCGTTGCTGACAGAGGTGTCCATCCTGCGGCGGATCACTTGTTTTGGTGGAAGGTCTGGGTGCTCAGTAGGCTTTAAACTCTCTTTGGGCTCCAGTGTTGACAGACTTTGGACAGATCCAGAGCAGCTCCTGTGGCCTTGAGGGAGAAATACACACAATAACTCCTGCCTCCATGTAAATGACACAAAGACACTAAAGTTTGATACGAGAACAGCTCACACACTGCACCAAGTAACGCAGGAAATGAGCCATGTAAATAACATTTTAACACTGCTGTTAATATTATGCCTGAGTCAAGGGGGTGCTGTCCATCTTTGAAAGCATTAAGTCACGGAGGAATAAGTTATGACAATAAAATTGTCCAGTTTATGAATTCTGTCCTGAAAATGACACTTTGATGAGGTTTCTTGCCACTTCATTACTGCAGGGGAAACAAAATCAATGAACTAATGACAGACAAACATCAACTGGCATTACTTGCTGATTATCCTACCTTCAAATATATGCAGTGATTTCAGAGAGGGAGCAGCTGAGCGGTTTAGCAGTGCGGGCTTGAGGTCAGTGCGGCAGTGGGGGGCTTTTTTAGGAGCAGGAGACAGCCTAGGTGTGGTGCTGACTGAGGACAGGCTGAGAGCGTCCTCCGACTCTCCATCTGTACGCCCTGCATCCTCCTTGGAGCTGGATTCTGGGCTGCTGACACATACAGTGCTCCTGGGGCCATTTAAGAGTTGTGATGGCGTTTGGTGGAGGTCTAGGAGCGACTTGTCCTTGACCTGAGCAGAGGAAGCTGTTTTGGAGGAGCTATTCTGCTCAGAGGAGTGGGAAGACAAAGACTCCATGCTGCCCATGGGGGTGCTGCTTGGACTGCTGCTAAAAGTGTCACCTATGCAGGGACCAGAGAAGAGGCATACAAGGCCCTCATTAAAACCTGCTGAGTGAGGAAGTGACTGTGGTTACTTTATGGCTTAAAGAAAGCCAAAATTATATTAATTTGCAAGGGTTATACTGGTTTTCCATTTAAAATAGTTGAGAAACCAGCTAATAAGAGGTGAATCTTTCAGAGATTTGGTGAGACTGCATGTGCAGATGTCTGATAGATATTAAAGGCCACCCATCGGTTTTGGGAAATTGTGGTGTGATGACCTGTGGCGGTAATCACTGCTTTGGTACTCACTTTCTGCATCTGCCAGGCACAGTGTTGGGGTGTAGAGGCTGCGGGGCTTTCTGGGCCCTGTGGACAGACAGATGGCCCTACTCCTGCGAGAGCCAGGCCGGCTTTGGGGTTGGGGCAGGGGGACATTGGGATCCGGAGGCTGGTGAAAGATCTGGAGTTCCAGAGAGGAGAACAGATTACTCAACACAACAACACAATCTGTGTATTCCCTGCACATATTGGATTATTGGAAATTGGATTTTTGAAGTTTATTACCAATCTTTTAAGGCAATCACTACCCAGTGTTTGATGAAATAGCGATATATACCCTGAGACGTACAGTTAATCAATACTGCAATATGAAATCAAAATAGAACCTGCAACATTTCTGCAAAATATAAAAAAAATTGCACATCATTAGGATTTTGCCCATAAATCTGTCCTTGGAAATAGGGAAAAGCTTGTGTAAGAGCAATGGTAAGGTGAACGTTTCAATAAAATACCTTAAAGAGTAAGAATTCAATATACAATAGGTTAAATTGCGCAGGTAAAATGATAAATGTGTATGTATATATGTATATATGTATATGTATATGTCCAAAGCCAGATAATGACTCACCTTGATGAAGTTCTCGATGAGTATTTCCACCACAATGTTCTGGAACTTGATGTTCATCATGGCGGCCACCGTTTCCTCTTGTGACCGCATCAGCGTGGGCCCAAAGATGACACCCAGGTTGGACACCGTCATCAGGTTGTACTGGCTTTGTGTGGAAACTCTGCAGGTAGAGAAGTGTAAGATGCTGTTCAATGCTGATACACCAGTAATACAAAGTCTTAACAATGTGGTGACAAATTTTGTTTTCTTTACCAGATACTGACAGTTTTAGAGACAGCTACAAATGCATTAAGGTGTCCCTGAACTGTGAAGACAATTTAGTCAGTCTTTTTTTTATCTCCTCTCATCCTTTAAGGCTGCAGTGTAACTGATTCATTACAAGAAAACGTACGTGACGAGGTGTTTTATTAGTAGCTCCAGCATTTCCTTGTTCCTCTCGGGCAGTTTATGAACCAAAGCATGAACAGCACACACCCTGTAGTTCTGATCATCTGACTCTGTGGAAAGGCAAATGGATCTTAAATGATCAACAGGCTTGAATACTTAGACGGAAAAGGCAAAGCTGACAATTATTACTTATTATTAACTAATAATTATTACCTTTGTTACCATATCCAGAGGTGTAGAAATAAGCAAGTGAGCACAGATTAAATCAATTTAACTTGTCAATTTGACAGTATGTGAGCTGCTTAATTAACATGGCATGTAGGCATTTTCTGAGATGGAAACTATTTAATTGGCTCAATCTTCCCTCACTTGATTTCCCTACTGTCAGAGCCCTAATGCAGTGCCCACAAAGCTATCTCACTTTAAATAATGTATCTGAAATGCAGTTCAGTTCAAACTCATTTCCCATTTAAAAGGTCAGATGCACAATATGTTAAACTGATCTAAATATATCTAAAAATATAGAATTTTCAAATTCATATTTCAATCTTATGACACAAATACAATTTTCCTATATACATCCTTGATCAAAAACAATATTTGACCTGACAACTTAACAATCTCTCTTTTGTGTAAAGTAATAAAAAAAATGGAGCAGTTAAAAAATAATATAAAATATAATTATATTGTAGCTGTTATAACTTTTCAGAACTTACTGACGGCCATGATAAAATCTTTGTGGAACTTGAAGGTCATTAGAGGCTCAGAGAGACACCTGGTGAATAAAGAGAACAGTTATCATTTATTTCCTGAATAACATGGGTCTTTTGAATTCAGCCACCTTCCTTTGTGAGTCACTGGCAGCACAGAATACATGACTAACACCAGGAAGGTTTCAAAGAGGCATTATGGAGGTAATGATGATTCCTGACAGCTAAAGACGCACAGCTGGTGGGGCAAGCTGACCTGAGGTAATTCTTCAGACCGCTGGTGATAGTTTTGTTATCCCACGTCTCCGGATCCAGGTCCATATCCACTGGTGCCTTGGAGGCTATTGGAAACACATTTTATTTTTATATCACCAAAATGAGAAAGCTGTAAAGTGTCTGAAGAACGCAATACAGCCTGACATGACCTGGCAGGCTGCTTAAATGAGCATTAAAAATACTGAATGTGCTCTTGTGTAAAGAGACTCTGGAATAAATGCAAGAGCACAAGAGTGCATGTGTGGTGTATCACAGAGATGGAGATCAAGCTTCAGAGAAACCTTAATAAATCATTCAGACATTTCCTGTTCAAATGTATGCAAACAGGATTACCGTGGGTCATCTAATAAGGTAATGACAAAGCAATGTGAGGCCAGATTGCTGTTACACTGTCACACCACAAGGAGGACCTCTTGCCTCACTCTGCTTGGTCACATTATGTTTGCTAAAGCTCTAGATTCTATTGGAGATGGTTGTCAAAAATGAGCCGTTCATACACAAGAGCTTTAAAAGCTACAAAAAAAGAAAATGGTCATTAAAGCATTTGGAAATTACAGAATTATGTATATGCATATGAGAATGTCATTAAATACTGTAAAGGGTACACAGAAAGACTCTGAGGACAGAAAAAAGCATTAGAATTCCAAGCTTGATAGAGACTGATAATACTTTTAATTTTGTCTCCAGTCCCTTTGAACACAGATTTCATTAGCAGTTTGTATTCTACTGAGCTATGAGTTACTTTTTTCCCGACTTTAAGGATACTTACAAAAGACTGTAGTCATCAGCTTCTGTACTTTGGAGTTGACCCCTCCAATTCTGTACAGTCCCATTGTATTTATCCCTACATGGCAATGAAAAAGGAAATTAAAGAATTGTAATAATGAAGATTTCCTGTAAGATGTGTTGTCATGTCCACTAATGAATGAAACACATTGTTATTCATAATCACAGCCAAGCTGCACTCAAGTCATCTGGCAAATTAAAACTGAGAGATTTAAATGCCTCACCTCTCATCTCCACCAGGTCAACGCATTTCCTTACAAAGTTAAAGCCCGCCTCATTAAGAAATGCTGTAATACAACATGAGAATAAGGTTGACACGTCAATTACCATCGGTTAACCACACATCATGCAGGAATTATAAGCTCTCCCCTATGCTTGTGCTCTGACTAATAAGATACAGCCCCTGTGCTGGAAGGCTCCACTATGTCAGATGAGTGGGTGTTTATGTCAAGTAATTGCGTTAATGAACACAGATAGCTATAGGTAATAAAGTATGTGTTTGATATGTGTGTGTTGGATATTTTATTATTATTTTATTTAGCTGAATTTATGTATTTCAATGCTGAAGGGGGTTTAGAAAGATAAAAAAAAACCACACTTACTCTCTTCCTTCTTGCTTAATATGGCTGGCAGGTTGTAAATCTAGAGAAAGTTTACAAAAAACACGGAACCCCTTGGTTAAAATTGAAAAAAAATCCCAGGAAGAAGAGATTTATGTCACACAGTTTTTCCCAGAGTTCCTTTGCTTTAAGTGGACTGCCTATTCTTAGCACTAGTAGATGGTGAGGTCATGGTTTCTTAAAAACACTATACTTGTACCCACCAGAAGAGGGTGCCAGTGACCCAAAATTCAGTTTTGGTATTTTCTGTCAAACAAACAACAAAAAAAACCATCCCAGCCAAACAGCAGCCAGCAAAATATGAATATTTCAGAACCAAACAGGCAGAGTTCCTCACCGGCTCCTTGCCATCCATGGCCTCCAGCCACAATCTTCTGTTGGACTCTGACAGTGCCTGCAGTGTCATAACGCCATGCCTGGAAAGATTTCAGAGAAAAGCTGGTCTCAGTCTGATCTCATTGCCTTGGGGCCCCTGGACAGACCATGTTTACACTGGCCGAGACCTCTATAAAAGGACTAGTGTGACTAAAATAGCTCATGTGCAAATGCTTGACTTCAAACTGTGCCCTCGGTTGGCTTGGTGCGGCACATTCCACTCCCAATTAAATGCTACATGTGCTTAATATTAGAGTGACTAATTTTTTTTGCACCCAACATGCATACACTTTCATCTTGTCTGTGTTCTACAGCACAGCAGTTGTTGTGTCTCATGTCTCACCTGCTACATAGCTTGAAACTGGTCTGAGCATTATCTGCAGTTGATACACAGCAGTGCTACCGGATGTAGTAACACCTAATGATAACATTATGTGATGCTACTGGCAAACAAAACCAAACCCCACCCAATAGTGATAGTTAGTACTAGCATGGAGCCATGTCAAGTTGCATGTGTTGTGATTAATATTAACCAAATTAATCAATTCTAATCTTACCTCTTAGGGGTATCTCGCCATGCAGACAGTGTTGGATTTATTTGACCAGGTTTTGAGATATCTATCTCTGATATTATATTATTATGCCTCCACCCCAATACAGTGTGGGTTGAAGGAATTTAATTTGTGATGCTCACAACGTTAAAAACATTTAAAATAATCAACAATCTTTCCAGAAACAGTGACCCTGTTAATCTAATTCACAGAACAGTACTTTTGCTGAAGTCCCTATGAAAACTGTGAAAACAGTGAGGTCTGTGGATTAACTAGACACTCTTTCTAGAAAGAAGTGACTTCTTAATTATTGTTTGTGCATTGCTTTGAGCCCCACACATTAAATTTTATTTTTTGGGGTGGAGGATACCAATATCTCAAAATCTGTATGGCTGAATACCCCTTTAGTAATTTGGGTGAACCAACCTTTTAAAAATGAGGTTCTAAGATGGTTGGACTCATTCTAGCTGGGCTATAGATGTAACAGAATGTTTATTATAATGAGGATGAATGGATGAGCTTGAAGCTGACTGGAGCTTGGCCCACATTGTCCTTGTGGTTGCAACAAGCACCTTGGGGCATCGCCGTTTATGATAAATGAGTTGTCCTGCAAATAAACTGCAGTTATAGTCCATGCTCAGCAACACTCACCAAGGGTGAGCAGTGCTGGCCCTGCTGGTGCTGTGCAATAACAACGCACAGTGATGAGCTTAATCTATATTCTGAAATACACATGACAATAATGAGCTCACATCAAGCTCTCATAATGTAGGACTTGATCAGTTCAGCCACTGTTAATCAGAGGGCAGCCAACTGGAAGGTGTTTGATCTTTGGGCAATCCCTTACCCTATCCCCCTAGTTCGACATTAAATACAAATCAGTTATGAATGTTCCCATACGGCTAAAAGATTTCAAATGTCTAAAGAGAGACAAAATGATTAATTGATTCTCAGAATAATAAAAAAATCAATATTTCTTGAGTAATTGCAGTCTACAGGCTACGAATAATTTAGGAATATGTCTGTGTCCTTTAGCCCATATTGACCAAGTGATTTTGTGAAGTGGTAAGAAGGCAACAGTGTTTCATTAGAAGGCTTGGATTTGAGAATGAGTGAATGATATGATTAGCAGCACACATGCAGCACATGCAACTGCTCTGAAAGGGCAGCACTGGTCAGTTCACATACCGGACTTTACAGAAAAACTGAAGCGGTCTGAAAAGAGTTCCACGATAGATGTCATTTCTACATTGACATGAACACAGAGAAAAGACGTAATGGGTTCAGAAATGGAGCAAATATCGATGTTGTGGACATACAACAAACGAGCTTGGGAGAGAGAGGGCTTGAGGAACATGCAGGACACAAACAGAGCTGAAAACATCTAACACTGATAAATGGGGAGTCTTTAAAGATGTTAATCAAACCTGAACAACACCTGCAACGCTGAGTACTCCCATGATAATCTGGCTTAATTGCCAGTATCAGTTGGGTTCAATAAAACACAAGATGTATGAGAACAAAACCTCCCACATGCGCTTCATCAATCTTAAAATATGTTAGTTGTAAATCGAACCCTCCATTTAAGCATTGTATTTCTAAAATAGTTTTACCACTGTTTACATGTGGATGACTTTTATAGAGAGCTAAAATGTAAAATGGTGGAGTCTAACATTTTTTTTACTAATTGTTTTCTTCAAGTACTAACCAGTGATGGGAAACAAATGTCAACATGCTGGAGGTGGTGGTACTATTATATTATATTATATATAATATTACACGTTTATGTTTTCAGTCCATGTAAGTGATAAGACATTTTTGGAAACATGTAGATGATTCACAAAGTCACAGACCTCTCCACCACTTCGATATCAAAGCAGAAACGCTTGTCGATGGAATCAGTTTTCCGTCGAATGCAGGACTTGAGCTTGAACATCTCTGGCTGGTTCAGGACAAGACCATTCTAAAAATAAACACACCATCCATTAATATAAATTGGAATGACACATGACAGAAACTTATAGGATGGTGGCAGTCGGTTGATCTAATGCACCCATTTCACTAATTTGTCTGTGTAAATGCTTATAAATGAAGTCTGTTCAGTTGATTGTGTGGGAAACAAGACAACACAACTTTCTCTGTTAAAAGATTATTTTCAGTTTTTGAGTTGCCCTTTCTTGTTATTTGTGGATTTTGTTACCTTTGAACCATTTCTGTCCGCCTTGAGTTAACAAGTCTTCTGTTTTCTGTGCCAAATTTGCAATTCTGTCATGAGACTTTTTTCTCTCTCATTTCCTCTGGGGTGAGACATTCTTATAAGCCTCAAGGGGGTTCTTTGTTTCACCCACACAGATTATACTTGCTCAGTATTTTCAGCTTTTATCATTTGTATGTATGTAACTAAGCTGAACTAAAAAAACTAAACTGAACAAAACTAAACCAAACTAAACCAAAAAAAAAAAAAAAAACTACCTGTTTCCCGGCCGACTTATTTTCAGTGTTGCTCATGGTGAAGGTCTTGCTGCCTTTCTCATATGTGCAGTAGTGACGTGTCCAAGTGCATCCCAGGGGACCTAGGACAGAAAAATAAAGAGGAAAATGGTGGATGAGCCAAAATATTTTTCTCTGAATCACAGGCCTCTGGAAAGACTTCTGAAAATCAATTTGCAATTAAAGTGTGATAAATCAAAAGTTGTTTATCACTGCTGATAAAAATCTACCATTTGGGCATCTCCCCCCTTGTTTGAGAGCACATCAAAGTGAATCGGTAAACAGGATGAATTATGAGCTCTGTGTGAGAGGATCTCGTCTGCAGGGGCCTGGGAGAACTCAAGACATGTTTATGGTGATGGATGTAAAACCATGCACTTATAAGTGGGGGGGGGGGGTTGAGAAGGCCTGCCTGGCTTGGAGCCCGGAGAGAAAGACTCACGTTTCTCCTGGACATACAGGAAGCCTTCCATCGTCCACTGGCCTGGGGGTTTATAGTCCTGATCTGCAGACCTTATCCTCTTCATCAGCTTCTCCACTTCCTGCTTGGTGCTCACAAAGTTGTTTCGTGTCTGCGCAGAACATGCAGGATCGGATTATAATTGCATTTGCAGAAAAAGTCTTGTGTACCTGCATTTTTTCCTGCATTTTCTCATCTCAAAAAAACACTTTTTTAGCTTCAAGGAGCAGACCGAAACAAATAAAGGAAAAATGTCTGACAAATGCTTTATATTTGTGCAGCTGCATGAGAACACCTGGGGAAAAGACAAACTAACACATTGGCAAACCATTTGGAAATACAGACACAGCTTCTAATTCAAATACATAAATTTATATTGGAAGAATACACTTGAGGTGATCCAAAATTAGGATATAGACTCAGTTTTTAAAGCTCCCAGGAATCCTCTTTTTTGGAGTCAAAAAGGTCAGCATGAAGCCGTTTCATTTCCCCTACTAGAGAGATGCTGAGACAGCCTTACCATCTCCAGCTCCTATTAGAGCTCTCTGCATCTGAGGACATGGAGAGAGGGTTACGGAGTGGAAATTGTCAGGGCAATGGTGCTGACGTTTTGGGTCAGAGAGCAATTTGGGCCCTCAGGCCGCAAGTGGTGAGGTCATGGTGATGGAAAGAGAGGGCATGGCAGCAGCTGTAGTTTTACTCCCAACTCTAACTTTTTTTTTTGACACAGTAGCGTTAAATGGCCTGCAGTAACTGCTTGCGATACAACACTCTGAAAATATTGATCCTCTGTGCAGCAAAGAATCTCATTTAATCACACAGCTATCCATTTGTGAAAACTCTGCTTGTTATGTCGGGGTATGATAAGCTGCAGAATCTGATTACGTGGCTGGTTGCCTTTGTGTACAACCCCTGAGGTGTTGAGACTTACGTTCTGCAGGTTGAACTGGAGCTGCTGTTTGTATGGCTCAAATTCATGAGCCAGCTCATATCCTTCATGGTAGAATGTAAACAAGCCCTGAAGAAAGGCCAGGAGCTGGAGAGGAACAATATTTAATGGTGAGTTAATAAACAATATAAAGATAGCAAATTCACACCAGAGAGCACATTTTAAAAAGGTACAGTGCAACATAAAAAGTCAATTTTGAATTATAATCACACAATTATCATTATATCTCTAAAACATGAGAAATCCAGTCTGCAGTGATTTTACAGTCATGGATTTAATTATAATTCTATCGACTAAAAAGTAGATAATTAACTCTAATTCCGTGCTAAAACTATAATTCTAATGCACATATTGCATTGTCAATTAAAACCTCATCAACTTATTAACAACAGTTGTATTTTCACGTCAATGCACTAAATACTGCACATAAGGTGAAAGGCTAAAAAAGGAAAGTTTCACAAAGTTGTAGTTCTCTATGGCAAATGACAAATATTGATTTTTTTTGTATAACACACCAACATCACACACAAAAAGCACTGGCAGTATTGTTGGAGGAAAGAACTGATCCCATCTATAGCATGGAGCATCCCACAAACATAGAACTGCTCTCAGTCAACTCCTCAGACACATTTTATTTCTAGGATAAGGCTTGGTATATGAAATGTTCAAGGATGAACCATCTTATCTGTGCCCAGATTCATCACAGGCAAGGTTGAGCCTTGTCATTTTTCCCAGCACTACCTGGAGATTTACATTTCTGGCCTGGGTTCTGGGTCACCTGCCAGTGAATGTGATCAGATGGGAGTTGGGGCGTTTAAAGCCACTTTATTCCCATCTCACGTTTACTGACACTTAACACCTAGATAACTTAATGTTTCCTGGTAACTTTGCCACTAAAAATGCTAGAATTGACTCCACATATATGTAAGGCGGGGGCTTTTATAGAAGCTTTAATTTGTACTTACACTTTGTCTTGTTTTGTTTGACAACAACCACTTTATCTAATTTTACCCACTACCCTCACCAAATTAATGGACTATATTACAGAGGATTTGTGATCCAGATGACAGATGAGTGGAATATACAAGCATAGATATATACCTGTGGGAGAGGTATAATTATGCCTGTCGTCAGTCAGGAGAAGAAACAGACAGACGGACATTTAAAAAGCCACTTTCATGAGAAGTAAGTACAAAAAGAAGAAGAAGAAAATGGCAAGGCAATTACTACATCTTCAATATGCATTCAGCACTAACTGAGCACAAAAATATGTAAAACTGATATTTCTCTTACCGGCTCAACAAACTCAAATTTCTTTTTTTCTTGCACTTCTTGTATTTTGAAAACGTACTCAAGGGACGCGTCATAAAAGAGTTGTCTCTCCTTATCAATCTGCGTGTCAGCCTGGGAATGAGCAAACAAACCAGGGTCAGTGCCATAACAAAGACAGGGTTCAAACTGGGAGAGCACTGTGTGCACAGAGAGTTAATGCTTACATCACCACCTGGAAACAGTGTGTGCTTAAAGAAGAAATGAGCAAAGAATAGTGCACAAACAATAGCTTTATTTTTAGGAGACACTCAGCAGACCATAAAACAGCATTATTCAAAGACATGTTGGGGATCAGAAAATTTGTTTTGGTTTTACCTCCTGCAGATATGCTTCCTTCTTTTTGGATGACAAGCCAAGGTGTCTCTCAAGCGTAGAGTAGTATTTCTCTGTTTCCTTATCAAATTTCTTCTTCCCCTCCTAAAAAGGTACACAAGACACATGAAAGGCTTAAACATTACCAAAAATGTGTCATACATTCTTGATGTGGGTGTGTGTGATTCAACTGCCACTAGGTGGAGGTCTAACTACATTTTCACATGGCATTTGGCACATGTCATTTAAAATTCCTGTCAATAGATTATTACAGGTCATAAAAGTGGCATGTGGCCGTGTAATGACGAGGAGACAGTGTCGGCGTGGTCAATAAGGACTATGCATTATCAGTGGGGCTTCTGAGAAACTAACGCCATTATTCTCACAGCTCCCCAGCCGAGACATAAGTTCACAACAAAACACATAACACTGTAAATCATCAATAGCATAATGCGTTTGGCACTGTCACAGACAGCACTGGCTGAGTGGTGTTTGCATTTTTCTTCCTTGTTATGCTCCACCTGCAAAGACAAGTCAAGCTCTGTAGTCATGAGTCCCAGGATTCAGAGTGTCCCAGGAGGCTCTGAGGAAGGAACAGGAAATGGGCTTTTCATGCCAGATGCCCATCTATAAAGCATATGGACTAAGAGATTGAACATTTTCCCCCCAAAAAAAGCTCCACTTCGCAAGCCTTAATCAAACTCTGCCCAAGCAGGGAGAACCTGTCTGTGTGAGGCCATTCAAGTGTCTCATCTGCCAGACTGACCTCTAAACCAAGCTTTGCCCACTTAATGCCCATCTCGCTATGCAAACATTCATAAAGGGGCTAGTCGAGAGACAGAATGAGGGGGGATGGGGAAAGCGTGAGGAAACGGCCAGTGTAACCAGATCCTGCTTGTTTGTTTTCCTTCCCATGGCCCTGAAATTTAGCAAGTCTAATCTAGTAGCTACTGATACGACCTAGAGCCGTGTTCTGCCTCAGCTACCCCCACAGCAGTTAAACACACCGGAGGAATTCACCACAAGACACTGTAACCCTCCTACATAACTATTACAAGTACAGCACAAAAATCAATAGATAATTTCATGTAGTAGCATCTTATTTCCATCTTTCCTGTCATGTCTGACCCAGGAATGATCTCTTCAGGAGTGGGGAAGAAAATCAATTGTGTATGTGACTGCTATTCAGAAACAAAGAGAAAATAAACAGGTGAATTGCAAAATAAACATATGATTAAATATAATAACGTGCTGACAGGAAATACATTTATTTTTAGAATCGAGTGTTTTTTATTACAGACCAAAAAGGGAGCTGAGTGTCGGCCACTGTGACTGCTGTTGACGTGACATTATTTTGTGAGCACGCATACAACTGGAGCCTTGGGGAAAATACCAAGACACACACACACACACACGTTCACGAGTACTACACAGACACACAAACACACACACTAGGGATCACATTAAATTAAGAGCTTTAGGTTTAGCTGAGCCCCGCAGTCACAGCAGGAATCTCCCAGCACTGCTGACCAGTGTGAGCATGCCAGAAAACTCCTCCGTACGTCTGGACTAACTCTTTCACACTTACAAAGACTGGGGAGTGACTCAGAGCTGCAGTCCATGAGGCAGAGCCATCCTGATTAAGTCACCCAAAGTGTCCTGCTTTGTTTTGATCCTGGCAGGACGTGTATAAACTGGTGCTATCTTAATGATACCCTAGCAGAACACCAGGTGTTTGTTGGTTTGTCCATGTGGTGAGTGCACTCCCACTCCAACCCCCCCGGGTATGTTTGTGAAATCAGAGTGGAATATGAGTTATTTAAATTGCAAAGACTCTCCTCGGGAAGCGGGGAGCAGTGTAGGCACAAGGCTTTGAAGCCCAACACATGGTGGCAGAGGACATACAGTAGATGGGGATAGATATATACCCTGAAGCACACAAGTTTCTGACACAAACTAATGCCAGTGCCCCAGAGTAATCAGCTGGCTGGGAATGGATAAAGCCAAAGCACTTCCCAACACTCTGTGGTGTAGAAAACACACATGAACCTACCACTTGGGAGATTTCCTCATCTGATTGCTTTGTTCGCCCTCATGAATAAATCAGATGCAGGAAGAGAATATTCGGATGTAGATTTCTCTGTAGTGGAATGCTGTTAAGAATGCTTTGATGCCAGCTGTCTGGGTCAGGATTTCTGCCAGTGTACTGCAAACCAGGTAGCTCGCCAGGCCTAAATTGAGCCTCGTCTGGCTTAAGCTGAACCCCCTGCCGGGCCTAAGCATCTGGGATTTTTTTTTTTTTTTATGTATTTTTAGAGATGCTTTTTAAACTACAGTTAAACTGGGGTGGCCAGGTTGGAAAGATCACCAGCGACATCTGTTGGTTAAAACCTGAACGAACTAAGCGAACGAAAACAGCAGGTCTGAGCTCAGTGTTCGTTACTCTGATTGTGCGTAGGCTGAAATTCAACAGAGGCCTCTTTCAACTATCACCCAGCAACCTTAGCTAGTAATCCAGTTGGTCTATGCCAGATGCTGCCTTTGTTACAGTTAGTGATAAGGTTAAAGAGGAAAGGTAAAAGCCAAAAAAACGTAAACAGTTTTTTCAGATGGCCAAATTCTGGAAGTGATGGTGAAAAGACTGCAAACATTCACTGATTCACCAAGTCAACAGTGTTAGCCTAACCTCGAGGTTGAGGCGCAGCCGAGCACCCCATGCTCAGTAACGCCAACAGAAAAAGAATCTCAGTAGCTTATGTCCCACCTTCATGAGCACTGATCTGATAAACAGCCGGATAGTTTGATGCAACATGGTAGCAATGTTACTTTGCCAGCTTTCACCGTTTTCTTTTCTATTTTATTTTTAGTGGTCATGAAGGAAAGCACACAGTTAAAAGCAAATTCACTGCCTTATGCCTTAAAGGGACATTGAGTAGGAATTTCTCCCATGTAGCGGTGAAATTGTATTTTGCATTCAAACGAATGGTGCTCTCTAGTGTCTCGTGTTTTCAAATGTGTACTGCAACTACAGTAGCCGTTATGTACCAAGAAGCCTAACTGTCGAGGAGAAAGCAGGCAACTTCAACGTCCCTTTGAAAGTCTTTCTCCTGCATTAGCTCTTTCCATTTGGGAAAAGCTACCCCGATGTTTACTCTTGTTTTTTGAATTCGCCGGTCACATAGCCTTTTTAATTCCCTTTTTCGCTTTTTTGGCGGCGAGGATTCCTTCTCCTGTGGCTCGGCATAAGTATGATCCTCCATTATTAACTAAAGTGCAGTGCAGACTTTCAAATGTGCCAGGCAGTGACAAGCGCTTCTCACTGATCTCCTTCTCCGTTATAGCTGGTTTCAGTCACGTGACGCTGGCTTTGAAAGAAAACGCATTGTGGATTAGCTCGACATGTAGGCTAGTGCTTTATGTCCCTCTGGCGATTATAGTTTTTCAAAATGGCGGAACAACATGGAAGCCTCCATGGACTTGCCCGTCCAATGTATATACAGATAAGAAATGTTTTGCTTACGAGGATAAGTCAGATCAGTGGCAGAGGTAATTTTACACCAATGAGGACACATTTATGAATGAAGACATTGATCTTAGCTAATAAAACACTTAAAACACTACACAATGTCCCTTTAAAGTGATTAGTTTGTATCTCATGGTTGATCTAGCACAGGAGCCAATCAGGACTTGAATACAAGTTTTTATAGAGTGCAACATTTTTACATATATATTATTTATTTTAATTCATGTTAGTTAGTAGTTGATTTTAAAAACATAGAATTCCCTGACCGTACATTGTCAGATTCTTTGTAAGACTCTGCTATAGTTATTGACTTTTTAATGTGTGTTGAATAAATTATATAATTACATACATACATACATACATACATAATTACCTATTACTGTCATATTTTCAAATCTCCAGACAGCTTTTAGCACAGACTTAATGGAATCTGTGTTATAGCTTTTTAAAATTCTCAATTATGTGATTCCATCTGTGATTCTGTTATCAAAAAAACCAATAGAGGCCTACCTTAATGCTGCCATCAGTCTGGCGCGGGCCCATGCCTGGCCCTCATCTCCAACATTTGCCACACTGCCTAACAACTTTTCTGGGTAAATCCCTGTGGGTGAGTTTGCTAATTGCTAATATAACGCTGCAGGGAGGAAATCAACAAGAAAAACTGCAAGCAGCTCCTCTTCTGGTCAGGTGTCCTCAGTTTGCTAAAGAAAGGATGCTGGGAACAGACATGAAGACGGCAGGAGGAATATTTGGACGCTAGCCATACATCGCCAGTTTTGACACTGGCCCTAACGAGCCTCAGGGCCATCATTTCTGAGCCTCTCATCACCATGGTAACAGATGTAAGCGGCAAGGGAGGTTGAATGTGTCTGTATATAAAGGAAAGAACCCCAGATATCACACACTATCACACTGCACTCTTCACTTGCATCCAATGCCCTGGAATAATACAAACATCAATGGCTAGCACGCCGTCATGTGCAGCGTATTTCACCACACGTTCATTTTAAATCAATTCTCTGAACAGTGACATGAAAGGGAGAACTCTGCAGCCTATTTCTATGAGCTCATTAGATAAAGCTAATTGGAGCAGGGGTCCAGAATGGCGATTAAATAGCAATAGCCAGGTTATTTTGATGCTCCACCACACATGAGCTGGTCTCGCTTCCACAGGGGAGACAGAGAGAACACAAGGCTTCAGCTTGAGTTCGGTTACTTTGCTGTAAAGCCAAAAAATGTCTCCCTCTTTACCTGAAATCCCATTTCCTGACGAGACATCACAGACAGCAAGAAGTTGGCCAATTAACACGAAATAATTACAAACATCTGCTTCTGAAGAGTTGAAAAACAAATACTCTGACTTCTAAATAGACCATATTTAGTGTGTGTGTCAGGCAAACTGCAGAGCCTTAGTCAAAAAATGAACTCTAATCAGTGCCCCTGCTCTCTCTGACACATGGTGTAATAAGTATAAACTAATAAAGATAAAAGTACAAGAGCTCCATACACTGTACACACTTATTCTTTCTTCTGTATTGCCTCTGTATCTGAAACTAATTATTAAGGTCTGAGCAAAGCTGCATGGAGAAAAAAAAGCTGTTATCTTCATAAGATCAACCTTCAAAAGCTTTTCATTATGTTGGGAAAAGGTCTTTTGACAAGCTCTGCATGAATATAGATCTATACTGTATCCTATAGGGATGCCTTAGGCTTCTCCCTGTCAACCTAAACCTCGCTCTCACCACCTAACCAGAGAGATAATGAGTGGGAAAAGACAACTGTGAAGTTCAAGTTAGAAGGAACTTCTTGTTAAGATGACACATCCGATGATTATTTGCTTTGGACTACGTCACTGGTCAGTGTTGCCCTTGAGTAAGTCCATGACTAAGGAGCGAGATAACAGGAAGTTCTTTAATGTCAGCATTCAAGCCATCTTCTGGATAAACCCACATATTTCTTATGAGGGTCAGTTGAGTTTGTTTTGTTATGCATTTAATGTGCATTCTAATGGTCAGACTTGTGTGTTTTATTTTTATTATGAAGATCATTTTCAAAACAATTCTGCTTTATTAAATCCAAACACAGGGAAGACTGACAGGAAAGATTCACCACAGAAAGGGAATGACCTGAATCATAAGCAGTCCTGTGTTCAGTGTCACTTTCCTCTCCAGAGAACAATGAATACACTGGAAGAAAATAAAGTAATACTACAAGCCATTATGTCAGTTCATCCTTCAAAATGATTCCATGAAGTCGTTGCTCAACTGCAGTGCATGGCACATACTGACGGTTAGATTAAAGGCTATTAGATTAAAACTGCAATCCATGAATTCTCAGGTTAAAATCTGCCATGAATACAGTGAGATTAGTAGTCCTTAAGAATAAATCATCTGTTTTGAAGATTATGTAAAAAGTTTTGGTTTGCTTGTCTTAAATTTCATTGTGCATTCATTATTTCATGACAAGAATAATGGATAATGACTTATAATATTTTGGGGCTTTTTAATTTAATTATGTGAAATGTTGCTGTTTGTATATAAACTAATTTAATACATACTGCTTTTGCAAAAGGAAGGAAGCTGATATGTTCACAGTGTGTGGTTGCTGCCTCCAAATAGGTGAGGACTGACCCCTCAAAGACTGCCTTGCGAAATTCTGGTGATCAGGAGAAAAAGTAATTACTTTCTGAAAGATTGTTTTAATGGTGTTTCTGCTTTATTGGGTAAGGCACAGTGGAAAGTGATGGGGCAGACATGAGAATAATGGAAATAAATACTTTCAATTTGCATCACCTTATTCATGCATTTTATAGTTTTTGCAGCATGACGTTGGCGTCTGAGTGTCATCTGCATTGCTGTCTTAATTTTTTTTTTTCCCTCACTGGTGAAGTGTTTAGAAGTTTGTTTGTCTTACTGCAGTGTGCATTTCTTTTATTAATCAATAATATGTTAGCGTTTATTATGCAATATGATTTGCATATCTCAGGACATCAGTTCTATCTTTGATCATCTGGTATTTTGTTACAGCTGGGATAACTGTGCTGTGTGGTGCTGTGCTGTGCGGTGGGCAACTGTCACAGCCTATGATACATAAACGGCCTGAAAGGTTTAGTGTTCAGATGATTAGTTGATGAGAGTAAAAATCAATTACAATTCTGATAATCAATTAAAATCATGTGTAATATTTGAAGGTTTCTTACTTTGGCACCATTTGATGGAATCAAGACTAAACCTGTCTCTATTTTGATCCCCAGACATTTTGTAAAATGACAACACGATGCAATCATATTATCACAATTCAATTCCACTGAAAATTAATTTAACACTCGCTTTTGCCCAGATCCTGTTATTTGCAACACAATTCTAGAGAGATGTGTAGAAGAGAAGGCTTTTAGTCATGTGCATGAAGAAGGTTCTTCTAGTTCTACTGACTTGCCACAACATCCCAAGGTTAATCAAAAATGTACTGTACATATTTGTATGATGTGAAAGGTTTTAGTGTAGCCCACAGCTGGCAAGAATTTTCCCAAATCACTTCAATTGATCCCTTTACTCCACAGTGTCTTAGGACATTTTCAGATTTCCGAGCATAAATGCAAATGTCATTTCTGCCTCTGGAGACCATAACTAGCCAAGAATTATCTGATGTCTGTGCACCCTTTGTAGGATGAGGACAGCTCAAATTATCGGTGGCCATCTGACTCCCATCTGGGTCTGTTTGCACTGACTGTTCACACTCAGCTAGTGTGGGACCCCTATGGTGCCCCTAATGTTGACGATCCTTGAAGGGAATACAATATTGTTAAAATTTCAGAGAGCAAGAATGCCACCCACTATTTGGACACCCCCTAGTACTTTGTTGAGAAAGTGTCCCTGGGGTCTGTTTAAATTTCAAGGCCTGAAAAAAATCTGACAACCCACAAACAAACACACACACACACACACACACGCACACACAAGTAGTGTGGACCCAGCTTTAGGCAGTTTACCTCCAATGAATCTCAGTTTGTGGAAAAAAAAAACAGCAGGTCTATGTGAGAGTTCAGGCCCAAGGTTGAGGTCTAAGTTGTAGGAGATCAGTTAGCAATTTAGTGGATGAACAGAAGAGCTCACTGTGTTGAAACAGTGCCAAGAATGGTAGATACACACTGAAACCAGGACAGAGTTTCATTTCTTATTTCAGTTCTGAAAGCATTGTCCTTTGCCTGGGAATGTACAACTTTCAGCTCACAAAAATGTATCTGAAATTTAAAAAAAAGTTGTAACAATAATTTCAGTTCTACATCTCGGTTTGGCAGCCAGCACATATGGTTATGTCCATGTTCCAGTGAATATACATGATTGTTTGAACTCTTGTGGCTTTCTTGATGTGTATTTGTTATACACTGTGCAAAGTTTAAGGGGTTTTATTCCAACACTTGGTTCAGCTTTGTGTGAAACAGACTGTGCCTAATATGTCCTGTAGTGCTGCAGTCAATCTGCTAGTGTGTTATGGTCATGGAAGTGTTGTGCTTGTGCCTAAGAAACTGATACACTGCTACGTAACCTCAGTGGGATTACTCGCAGTATACCCAAATAAGGCAAGAGCTCCCCGTTTGTCCATCTGACGTTCTCAGACATGAAGCGCAGTAACTGGAAGGGTCAGACAGCCTGCAGATCTCTCCAGATTCTCGGAACAGTGGAAAGTTGCTCAGCCACTCGTGATGTCTGCCTTTTATCTCACTCTAGTTGGGCTAATGTTTAGTGGGGGATGGGCCGTAGGAGGAGAGAGCCATTAGGAGGAAGTGGTCGGAGGAAATAAGAGGTAGTGGGAGTGACAGGGGCTGTGGCTTTTAAGAAACCATTTTATAAACATGGAGAGTCAGTGCAATAACACTGAGCACTATGATGGGGAAAGTGAGAGAAGGAGATGGCTACAAAATGTGCGATTTCATTATGGTAGATACATGTGATGGTCGAGACATTAAGTGACAATGGTTATTTAGTCTAGGCAGTAAAAAGGAGAGTGATTGATGTTCACAACTCAGCACTAAGAAGAAAAATAGTTATTTTACATTGCAGGTTGGATTGTGAGGACACCAATGAAGTACAGTAAAATGACTATTTTTGTAGACCAGTCGCTGTCAAGTCATGTAAAATAAATCAAGATGGGTGAGAGTCTGACTTTGATGCTGGAATGTCCCTCACAGGGGTTAGGGTTATGTAAAGATGTGCGAATGAATCACAGAGTCGAGTGTAGAGTTAGTGGTGGACTCAGAAACTCAGTGGGAGATCTGTGGAGAGGCTTGAGTTCTTCTAGCTTGTTCGTGTGTGATCCCACCAAGGGAATGACCACAAACAAGCTGCCGTGCTTTCATTTTATGCCTTTGCGTTGGCCAGGAATGAAAGCATGGCTTGTAGCAAAAAGCCCACACTGTTCTTTGCAGTCAACACTGGCTTCAACAACATATCCACTGTGGAACCAGGATGCCTTCAAACTACATTATGCAAACCCCTACTGATACCAGTCCTCTATATCCAATAGGTTAGGGAGGAATGCATTACGGAATGGATTACAGTAATCTGATTACAAAAATGTTGAATGCAATATGTTAGATACTGCAAATTTACAGTAATCTGATTATAAATGCATTAAAGAAGTCCTTGTTGCTTGATCATGCAGAATCAGTATCTTTGAAGGAAGAACAGCACTTAGACTGTGTTACAGAAGGCTGTGACATACTTATTTTTATCACATCACATTTTCAAAATCTAATATGTAATTTGCAAGATAAAATTTGTGTTGAATTATCTTTGAAAAAAACACTCACAGCTCTATTCATGAGTAATGTGTCTGCCAAAGACAAATAATTCTTCGGTTCAATATGCCACCTTCAACTAAAACATAAACTAGCCATCCTAGAAAACAGATGAACTTTTTAACTCACAAGTCTTAATATCTTTTAATATCACACTTGCAAACTGATTTCTTTGTTTGTATCCCCTATGAGTCTGATTAAGCCATTTCTCTTAGCAGTGTCACATTTTACTTTTAATTAATGATTTACATATTGTAGGGGAGATGAGGGGAGTGAGGACGAGAGGCGAGGGTGTCAGAACACATGAAACATCCTCCGCTGTTAAATTGCTAATTGCGTGTGGAGGAGGTCTCTTACCTTTGCAGCACCGATTTGCTCCTTGCGAAACTTTTCCAGGGGAGTAATCAACACATCATCAGCATTCTGAATCTGAAATGAAAAATAAAGAAAAATACAGAGACAGACAGATGTCAGACTCAGATAGTCTATTAGTCTAACTCATTGTAACCTTCTGAATAATTCAAAATTACAAGAAGGACAAATATCCCAAAAATCTTTAATCTAGTTGTCATTCAGTTTTATTACTACAATGGTCTTGCTTTACAATTGTGCCAGAAAGAGTATGACACACAGGAAATTATAGCACCAAAAATTTTCCAGCCCAAGTCAAATACAGATGCAAGTCCAAACGCAAGTAGAGGATAGAGCAATCATATTCATTAATATCTCTTAAGCCAGTGACAATGAACAATGTGCTACAGTGAGGTACCCAAAATGAGTACAGCAGAGATAGCAGATAGAGCACTCAACAATGGTTCTGCTGGATAGAAGAAAATTGAGCCTTTTTATGTGAGCTGTGAACCACCAGCATTGTCGAACCTCGCTGAAATATGACACAGCACAGCAGATGAGGGAGCTTTACAACTGCAGCATGCAATGCATTTAAATGTTTGAGGTATGTCTCTACATATTGGTGACCTCTCCCGCGTCATGACTGGAGTAAAAGGTCTCTCCTGGAGCCTCTTCTTTCTCATTCCAGACAGAAATAGATAAGGGGAGATATATTATACCAATTACAGTCTACGCTCAATCCTTACGAGTGAGCAGTTCGGCAAGGTGCCATTAAGGTGCTTCTGAATTTCCCGTGGATGGGCTTTCATCCACTGAGATCAGATGACATCAGACTGGTGGGGCCGCTCTACAGGAGGTGCTGTCACAAATGACATGGCTCTTAGGTTGATTTAAGGTGTTATTCTGTGTGGTGAGTGTATGTGATAAAGTAAGGGCTGAGCTCTATAATACATCTATGATACCAGCACTAATTTAGAGGTGTCGGCTCAGATGGACTATCAGCTCCCCTTCCCCTACAGTCCTCTGAACACACACCGTCTTGGGATAGAGTTTTTGTTTTGAACCATTAATCACAGCGCATTTTCATTGTCCCAAAATAACCCTGTCAGCTCCATCAGCCAACCAGAACGAGTGACTTCAAAAGAAGCTGCAATCTCTCTGAGCCCGTAATGTTTCCTTCTCCTTTTATATGCAGTGTTGTGGGATGTTGTACGCTTGTAGTTTAAATTTGTAGCTTTGTTGTAATAATGTACTTTAATTACGCCATGATATTTGTGGTCCATCAAATAAAGACAGATGTTTCACACTTGAAACCATAATCAGATTATGGCTGTTACACTACATTACAATTCTAAATAACTGTTGTCTAGTACTGTGTTTCCTATATAATAAACATTCATAGTTTACTTTACGCTAAGCAGTAAACTGAGATATCAGACATTATGGATCATCATTTTGTGCGACAGGTAGTATTGTATTGACTTGGAAAAAAGTTGCGTGCAATGGATGAAACAAATAAACAAAAACTAAAAGTTAAATGAAAACAAAAGAAAGCAAGGGGAAATCATGCTGAACTTATTCAATAACAGATTCAAAATGCAAATAAATGTAGCCCCATACGCAACAAACTGTGATGCACTGTGTGTTCTGACTCCTTTCTTTCAGAACCAGCTTTAACTTTTTCAGCAAATTGAGCTACAGTAGCTTGTCTGTTGGATCAGACCACACGGGCCAGCCCTCGCATCAGTGAGCCTTGGCCACCCAGGACCCTATTGATGGTTCACCGCTTTTCCTTCCTTTGACCACTTTTGATAGGTACTGACCACTACAGACCGGGAACACCCCACAAGAGCTGCAGTTTTGGAGATGCTCTGACCCAGTCGTCTAGCTGTCACAATTTGGCCCTTGTCAAAGTCGCTCAAATCCTCATGCTGCCCATTTTTCCTGCTTCTAACACATCAACTTTGAAGGCAAAATGTTCACTTGCTACCTAATGTATTCCACCCACTGACAGGTGTCATGATGACGAGATAATCAGTGTCATTCACTTCAGCAGTCAGTGGTCATAATGGTATGGCTGATTGGTGTAAATGCAAAGATTATCTTGCATCGCTGTATTAATGGATTTATTGACTGTTGGTCACACTACACAGGTCACACTAGATATTTTTGGTTTTGGTAACTATAGACTGAATAATTGTTGGACTAATGGAAAAAAATATCAATAATGAACCATTTATTTTAACTTTGAGGACAAATAGGTTGACTACTACTCTACAGAAATACATGTTAGATAAGATTGTCACTTCATGCAAAGGGGGATTACAAAAAGTATGCATTTTGAGTGACACTGTGATATGGTAGAACCAAAGCCACATGTAATATCACAAAAGAAATACTCATATTAAAGATAACTACACACTAGACGTACATAAAAAAGCTAACACACTTATTATTGATAGTACCACAATAATGTGTCATAATACTATATATATGTCAGTTCCATTCTTTAAATATCTATCAGAATTATAAACTCAACATGTTATGTTCAGTACTCCTGTCTGCTTTTCTAAAGTGGCGGCATGCCGAGTTTTCCTGTTATTTTATCTGCCGATTGAAAATCTGCTTTTAGATCTGCTTTAAAAAAAAAATAGGTTTGGCACTTATGATACTATCAAATTACCAAATTATTTTCCGGATTTTGTATTGGTAACATGTATGCACGAAATTGGATTAATGTAAAACATTTGAATCGCATTTCCATTTCCAGGCCCCCATTTTATTGCGCCCCCCTGCCCCCTCCACCCCCACCCCACTTTTCAAACTGAAGTTACGCCCTTGAAATTTGGTATCTTTAACCTTTATTTACAATCTACAACATGCAGAAATCACTTCACATACAATATAACCTCTCAAAACCTGTATTATAGGCCATCACTAGATGGGATTTAAAAGCACTGAAACGGCATAAGGAAGAGAGTACTTCTGTGAGATAAACCAAGGCAATTTGCTTACAAGTGACACTCTATTAGGAGCGTAGAGGACATTTTGCGGTCATCAAATCTGGCTATTATAATCCTCCAGTCATATCGAAGTCATCGTGTTATCTACTGTGTCAACAGGGAGAATTATACTACTCTGCCAGTGTGATAATGTCATTTCCTCTGTCTTATCTCCCATGCTTTCAGTCTAATTGAGTCTGCAGTATTACCATGCTTTAAAGGTAGATTTCCAATACCATTAGCTTTTATCATTTTCAGTTAAATGGACAGGACAATTAAATATACAGCACTATAAACTTTTGAGATTATGGTCTAATATTAAGAATTGAATGAAAGCAAAAAGAAAAAAACATTCTTGTTCTTTTCTGGATTTCAATAGAGTTGGTTGTTGAGTTAGATTATTTCAGAAGGTTACTGGTCCCTGAAACCTGATATTTGACTGTTTTAGGACCACAATAAAGCTTAAATTTAAAGTTGGACTCTGAAAAGGAACACATCTATTATCAATTGTTCATGTCAAAAGAATTAACAGTGGAGTACTGGTAGTGGCAATAGTGCACATCCAAACAATGAGGATAATGGACAAAAGAGATTGTAATCAGCATGTCAAGATTTAACATGCTCGAGATTTCAGATCAGTTTCGATGATTAATTTCCAATAAGCTGATTCAGATTTTTATACTTGAAAGAGGCCAACTTATTTAAGACTCAATGGATTACTTTCAAACTGGCATTGTGCCGAATGCCCTCAGCAACAGCCTTTCTAAACAGGATTAAATCCATATGAGCGAGCACAGTGTGATGCTTGAAAGGATGCAATAGCGCTAAGCAATTTCATTACCAGATAGGGGGAGGAATGTCAATGTGCTGTATTTCCCTTGCTCCTGCTCTTACCAGTCCAAATATCAACTGGATCAAAAGTCTTGCTCTGAGGTTAATTTGCAGAGACAGATCAGAATGCCACAAGGCCAGATGAAATTGAATAGTTCAAAGTTTATATACCAATTGAAATTTGCCTTTGCCACCTGTCAAAAAACATTGTATTTTTGTTTAAATGTGAATGTCTATTCTAAATAGTTTAGGAACAATACTATCAAATAAAATGCCCTGATGGCCTTTTTCCCACCGCGTTCCCATACACATACAGTATGCTGTGTCTAACAGTTTCTCTTCACAGTGTGCATACATATGCATAACTCACAGAAGCCTCCAGATAACCATCTCCAAGGTAAGCTCTTGTTAGTATAACTCTCACTGGGTCACGAAACATACATTCTTGAACAAAACCACGTTGTTTGTTCTGCAAATGTTTGCATTATCCAGTATATTGTGTTGCATATCTATTGAAATAGCATTCAGTGAAGATACAGTACTGTAGGTTGTATATGTCACATTCATGCCCAGGGATCTGTTGGTATATTTATTTTATTGTATGACTATAGGTTATAATCATTGTAGCATTTAACTGTGGATTGCTCTGTCTCACTGGTAACGTATGTAAGTCTACAACTGGGTAGTAAATAACTTTTATAGGCTTTTTGCCCGTTCTGTTATGACAATGTCCTCACAATAAAAAGCCAGCTTGATACACCTAAAGCCCTTCTTCTTCACTGCAAATCATCTGAATCTATTTGTATATGAATACACACAAACACACACACATACATACACGCCAGTGCGGCAATTTTATGCAGGCTGAAGAGGCATCATAAAAGCTTGCTCGGTCACCATGCTGCACTATCGTTCAAATGAAAAAAAGCCTATTTTTGTTGTTGTTGTTGTTGTTGTTGTTTACTGTTGCTGTTTAGCAGTTTCACTCTCACATACAGTATCCAACACGGACCCAAGCAGAGAAAAGAGTTCTGGGCTTTCAAAAGTGGGTGTTTAATCGGTATGTGCTTGCCAGTTAAAATCTGCCAACTATGACAATTAAGTGAAAGCCTCTGACAGAAAGAGGTAAAAAAAATCACTGACATTTTAACATCTAAAAAAAAAACTGCAATTTACATGAAATTACATTACGATTTAAATTTGTCCAATTATTTTATATATGTAGCCAGCTTAGCACAACCATGT